TATATAAGGATAATTTTGGATACCATAATAATTAAAAAAATCCTTATATTTAAGAATTACTAACTTATAAAATGAACATGTAATCACTTAAAACAATTAAACAAACTTTATTAGAATTTTTGATCACCCATTTTGAAAAAGTTTATATAAGGAAAAATAAGAGCTAATTTTAAAAATGGAAATTGAACTCAAAATAACTATCTATCAGTTTTAAAAGTGCTTAGAAGAGTAATAATTTTCTAAAATAAATATTTTGACCTATCTAGATATTTAGAATGAAAAATTAAATACATATTCCATCAAAATTATTCTATATAAAATAATTAATATGAAGATAAAAAAATGTATTTCAATAATACATTTATCTTGAATGAAAAAAAAATTAAATTAAAAAACATTTTATTTAAAACCAAAAAATAACAATAATTATTAGTAAATTTATTTTATCTTCTATATTTATTTATAGATATAGGATTTGTATATTTAATTTCAATTAAATTATTGAAAACGCTACATTTATTTGCTCTACTTTAGAATCGAAATATCAATTTACTTCCAATGCACGTTGAATTCGAAAAGAAATAAAACATATACTTTTAGGTCTAAAACTGTTCGTATAAGAAACTAAATTTGAAAGCTGTGAAAAAGGTGTACTAGAACTATTTTATAATATTTTATGTTTATGAATGTGTTATGTCTATTTAAATTTTAAGAATTTGATAGAACGCCTTAAGTGATTCTTAATGTTTGGTAACTGAATATAACCAAAGATGAGAACTAAGTGCAAGCATCCAGAACAAAGATTCAAAAATAAGGTAAGAACTTATTAACTTTGAAAAAGCATTTATCCTAAATATTGGCTGTCAGAAATCAGGAATAGAGAAATAATATCGATTTAAGTGGTTTGCGATTGATGACTAAAAAATCTAAGTAATTAATTCTTACAAAATGACTGAAATTAAACAAAAAATTCTACATAATAACCCTAATGCATAGTCTTGATTTGTCTCAATTACAAGCATAGGTTTTAAAGGCAAAGTCAATTTTTATTTGAAAGTATTTTAAATTCAAATTTAGATTTTAGATTTAAATAAACTTCTGTTCCTGAGTTCTACAAAAAAATCATACAATTACAGCATTTAACATATTTAGTTGGAGGTGAAAGCTACATTCGTTTATTTTTTATTGTGATAAAAGTTTCAACAACTTTTTTACCTCTTTAGTTTTAGAAACTATGAATCAAATTAGTCAAAGTTATTCCTTAATAAAATTAAGCAAAAAATTATCATTTCTAATTAAGAAAGTGATAAGATGGATTATTAAAATGGAAAATTTCAATTAATTGTTGATATAAAGCTGTTAAAATAAATTATAGTATTCAATAATATTAAAATAACTAATTTTAACTTATAAGTGTGATTCAAATTTAAATCAAATCAACTTTTTATTGGTTCTCAAAAATATGGATAAGACCCATTAATTATTATTTCAGAGTTTAGATGTTCAGTGTAACAAATAAAGAATATAAACCTATGAAAAGTTAAGAAAATAAATAATGTTATTCAGCATACCAATATCTAAATGAGAAATTTCAAGATTAAATAACAAGTAATTTAATGGAGCTAGACTCAAAATAGGCAACAAGATGATTATAAATTAATAACTCATAAACCCGCATATAATCCTCAATTTTATAAAATATCAATATTGAAATTGAATAATTTATTATATAATATAGGCTGTTCTTGCTAATTCAGCTAAAAATTATGATATATGGCATTTGTCTTGTTTAAAGATGTAACTTCTTAATTAAATTTTATGCAGGCTTTTAATGATTCATGAAACGCATCTACAGACTGTGAAAAACAGAAATATTATCAAAATTAAACTTGATGTATATAATCGAATAAGAAGTTGTGTCAACAATAGATTAAAATAAAACCAAATTTTACTTTTATATTATTTTATCCCAGTCTATGTATTTTGCACTTAATTTTATATTTAGTAAAATTCTTGAAAGATTGTATTTGATCTGATTTGAATGGACCAAGAAAATATTCAAAACTTTAATTGCAATTCTGTTAGATTAATTGTTTACACTCTCTAAATTCCAGGAATCTTTTATTGCTTTTATAGTTTTCTACCAATACAATTTTAATATGCAGAATTAAATGCTTTTAAGACTTCATCTCTATCAAATTAGATTTTTAAGCTTTTATAGTTTTATTAGGATATATTAAATAGTATATAAATTTGTTTATCGCATAATTTAATCTTAAAAATATCTTAATAAGCATGCCTCGATAAACCTTCTAATCTTTTTATAAAAAATATTATTGTCTTTTTTTATATTCTCCTTATTTATTTAATCCTCTCCTAAATTAATTAGGTATAAGTTATAACACTGAATGTATAAAGATTATGAAAAAATAGTTATTAATCAGTAGAAAAGAAATTAATTTTTTCTAAAATGTAAAATGTTTATTTCTTATGAGTATTTAAAATAGGGTTTTTGATTTTAGTAGATCAAATTATGAATGGAACTTATAATATGGCATGATTTATAAATGAAATGAATATTCCAACAACAACAACTTGAGANTGGATTATTAAAATGGAAAATTTCAATTAATTGTTGATATAAAGCTGTTAAAATAAATTATAGTATTCAATAATATTAAAATAACTAATTTTAACTTATAAGTGTGATTCAAATTTAAATCAAATCAACTTTTTATTGGTTCTCAAAAATATGGATAAGACCCATTAATTATTATTTCAGAGTTTAGATGTTCAGTGTAACAAATAAAGAATATAAACCTATGAAAAGTTAAGAAAATAAATAATGTTATTCAGCATACCAATATCTAAATGAGAAATTTCAAGATTAAATAACAAGTAATTTAATGGAGCTAGACTCAAAATAGGCAACAAGATGATTATAAATTAATAACTCATAAACCCGCATATAATCCTCAATTTTATAAAATATCAATATTGAAATTGAATAATTTATTATATAATATAGGCTGTTCTTGCTAATTCAGCTAAAAATTATGATATATGGCATTTGTCTTGTTTAAAGATGTAACTTCTTAATTAAATTTTATGCAGGCTTTTAATGATTCATGAAACGCATCTACAGACTGTGAAAAACAGAAATATTATCAAAATTAAACTTGATGTATATAATCGAATAAGAAGTTGTGTCAACAATAGATTAAAATAAAACCAAATTTTACTTTTATATTATTTTATCCCAGTCTATGTATTTTGCACTTAATTTTATATTTAGTAAAATTCTTGAAAGATTGTATTTGATCTGATTTGAATGGACCAAGAAAATATTCAAAACTTTAATTGCAATTCTGTTAGATTAATTGTTTACACTCTCTAAATTCCAGGAATCTTTTATTGCTTTTATAGTTTTCTACCAATACAATTTTAATATGCAGAATTAAATGCTTTTAAGACTTCATCTCTATCAAATTAGATTTTTAAGCTTTTATAGTTTTATTAGGATATATTAAATAGTATATAAATTTGTTTATCGCATAATTTAATCTTAAAAATATCTTAATAAGCATGCCTCGATAAACCTTCTAATCTTTTTATAAAAAATATTATTGTCTTTTTTTATATTCTCCTTATTTATTTAATCCTCTCCTAAATTAATTAGGTATAAGTTATAACACTGAATGTATAAAGATTATGAAAAAATAGTTATTAATCAGTAGAAAAGAAATTAATTTTTTCTAAAATGTAAAATGTTTATTTCTTATGAGTATTTAAAATAGGGTTTTTGATTTTAGTAGATCAAATTATGAATGGAACTTATAATATGGCATGATTTATAAATGAAATGAATATTCCAACAACAACAACTTGAGAAGATTTTTGAGGTGTTTTAATTGAGATTACTCAAAAGATTATGGTTAGGAAAAGTAATATGTTTGATGAAAAGTAGGATGATTAAAATTTTATAGAAGTAATTAATCTCTTTAATTTTGAGATGTTTGTATCCAATAGTTATAAAAACAGTAAGAATTTTAAGATTTTATTGCAATAGATAATATTATAATAAGTTTAAGATTTTCAAAAGGTCTAAAAGTATCTCAATAATGTCAGTGTATACTCTTTCTTTGTAGATTTTGTAACAAAATTTCTTTCTTCTAAATATTTGAAGATTTTATTGAGAATTAAGCTTCAACACTTCAATTTTGGTCAAATGAAATAATCAATACTACTTTCTTATCATCATCTTTAGCCACATCTACTTTAATTAATATTAAGGCTTCTGCTAAAAAAAAGAAACTAATTTCTTATCCAAACCTGCAAGCCAAGAATTGTTCTGTGAGTTAATAAAAAAAAAGTAATATCTACTAAATAACTGATTAGTGATTTTTCATATCTTTTAGTTTGTTAATAATTAAAAAATGATTAAGCTCCAAACATAAATAATAACTTGAATATAATCCAGCGGACTTTAACTTTCTTAGAATTTAATTAAGTGTAAAGCTATTTATGATTGTTTTATTGTATTCTAATATATCTTAGTTTTCATTTTATGGCTTAGATTTTACTCTTACTTATTTCCTTTCAATAAATTTATATATGTAAGACTCTATAAATTAATTAAAATTATGTGTAGAAAAAAATACTGCAGAAAAATAGATAAAATATACAAAATCTCTTACAAACATAGTTTATTTTTTACTTCATAAATCGTATTATTATTTTATGATTCATTTGACCAAGAGTTTAAGATTACCACGAAATAAGATTAGAGAACATTTTTAAGATCTGATAGTGTATTTAATATCTAACTTAAAATATAGCCTTCATTATACTTGTCACAAAGAAGAATATGCTGCATAAATCATTATTAATTATTTTAATTTTCATTATAAAGTCTTAAATAACTAAGTATTTCAACTAAGTTTAACATAATATTTTATCTTTTATTTTAAATACTTTTATAACACATGTAAAACTCCAAATAATTTATTGAATACCAAATATCATTCCTTGAATTATATAATAACATAACAAATATAGTATTTATTGATTTAGTTGAAATTGATTCAATAATAATTTTAATAAGAATTTTTTAATTTAAAGTTAATAGAATTATATAATTTCTCATAAAACCTACTTAAAATATCAGTATAGTTACAGAATTATTGAATTTCCTTAGGGATATACATATAAGTGAATTTATTTGTTAAGGGCAATTGTTATGTTGCATGACTATTTCTTTAAACAGACCATAAACTATAATGAGAGTTGAACATTCATCCTATAAAAAAATTAAATCTATGATTCATTTATTTTAATATCTTAATATCTATCTTTTAGGATTTTCATTTAAATTATTATTATTTTTATCTTCGATATCAGTAATTGATTTTTTAATGCATTATTAATATATTTAAATATTCATTTTTTTGATAATTTTAGAGATATATACGACTAAATTATTTAATAAATTAATTACAAATATCTAGCTTGAAACTAAAATTATATAATAAGTATAATTGATATTTAAGCAAGTGAAATGATATTCTTTGTTTTTAATTTATTACAATCTAATAATATAAAAAAATTAATTTAATTTAATTTGATAAATTTAATTAATAATTTTAATTGAAAATGGAATAGTAGGATTTGAAAATGTGTATAATTTTAGTTGATTTAGAAAGGTAGATTACTTAAGAAGATAGATGCTTTTGTGTCAGATGTTGATAGAAAAAAATAAATAAAAAGAAAATAAATTTGATTGATGATACAAAGAATATGATTAAAGAAATGAAAATAAACAAATAAAATCAAATAATTAAAGATAATAAAAATAGATTAGATAAATTTAATTGAATTGAATATTATTAAGTGAACTAAAATAAAATATAGATAAGATATTTCTTCAAATATTTAATAATATAAAATGTCAATTGAATTATTTAAATAAAGATATAGGAAATGTTGAATGATAATAAAGTATATTTAATTTTGAAAATGATAGTGAAAGACTACCTAAATTAAGAATAATAAATTAATGAATAGTAAATTTAAACTAATTAAAATGATCATAAATTTATTTAATAAATTCAAAAATAATTAGAATCTTTTAAAAATTCTGAATAGTATAATAAATTTATAAATTTATAAATAATTAAAATATTATAATGCATTCAAATAGAATAAGCTTTAATAAATAATAAATACAATTATGAAATAATTAAACCATAAGATTATGTATCATATTATATATTAATAGAGAATACCTGAATTCAAATTTATTTGTTAAGAACACATAAAAGAAATCATAATTTTTAATTTGAGTTCAAATTGTAACTATAACCAAGAATGGCTTGTGTTAAATGCATTTAATAATATCAGCTTAATTTACATCTTTAGAAGATGTGAATGTTTAATGGGATTAATATTAAAGAGAAATTAAACTAATTTAAATGAAATATAAAATACAAGGGATTCAGTTTATTAAAAATGATTTAAAATAAATGATTAAATATTTGATAATATAATCTTTAAATAATTAATAATAATCAATAGAATAATTAATCAATGAATTAATTAAAATTATTTTAAATAAATGAAATAATTAATTAATTTAGTTAAATAAATATATTTAAAACATTTAAAGATTATTAAATCAAAAATTGATAAATATTTTATTCAGATTTAAAATCTAGATTTTAACATTTTATACTATGTTCATAAATAAATGTTGAAAAATTGAATTAAATAATTATTAATGATAATAAAGTAACTAATTCAATTAATAATTTATTATCATCTATTTAAATTAAACATGTAGATCAAACCACCAAATTCATGCTAACAGAGAAACCATACGGACAATTTTTAATATGAATATTGAGATGGACTTAAACCAAAATGTTTTTAGAATTCGGAACAATATTTTAGTTATTGTAATGATATAACATATGAAATACCCATCTTTATTTCTTGTTACAGCTTACTTAACTTGATTATTGATTAAAATTTATTTTTGATCCTTTTACAAATAAGTGTGTAGAAAGAACAAAATTATGTTTTGGATTAGGATTTGGAGCTTTTAATTGGAATAAAGTGTTGAAGACAAATTATTATGTGATTGAAATAGTTTTTATAATGTATAGAAAATGATCAAATTATTATTGGGATGTAGAATTATGTTATTGTAGACCCAATTAATGTTATAATATCACTTTCTAAATGTATTCCTATGATTTATTCTAATAATTTGGAAAATCATAGAAAATCAAAGTGTCTTGTCTAAAGATTAGAAAAAAATTATTTGGATTAATTACAGGTTTATCGATTGTTGATGGAGAACGCAATTTAAGTAAAAATTATTGTAAAAGAAATATAAACTCTGAAAATGCTAAGCCACCTTATTCAGCTGATACATCTAAATTTTCTATAATGAATGTACTGTAAAGATTATGTTTTAATAAATTTGATACTTGTTAAAGCACAGCTTTTGGGATAGTTTAATTTCAAAAATTTCTTATTGTTTGTAAAAATTTTTTGAAGACATTTGAGTATCTGCGTAGGAAGATCTATTATTATCTGCAAATAGTACTTTAATCCAATCATAAGGATTAACTTATGATTACTGTTATTTGATAAGTTATGGCTAATGTTCATTGAACATCTTGTGTAAAAATGAGAGGAACCTGTTAGGAATACAGCAAAGAGGAGTTTTAAACTATTTTTTATATTAAATTTCAATCATATAGAGGCAATGATTTGAATTTTAGATTTAGAATAAAACTGCTAATTCATGTTTATTTTCAGTAAACCTTATTAAAAAAGGCAGTTAGAATTGCAAAATTGTTTTTGATTTGAAGTATAACAGAAGAAAATAAAATAAAATGAAAAAATTCAGTAATCAAAATGCTTTATTTATAAACTATAAAGTTATGAAAATGAAGAATGTATCATAAAAGATAGGTAAATTAATGATATTTATAATATTCTGAATAACTATCAACTACCCAATAATTAAAATTCTATTTAGTTTTCACAAAATAACACCTCTTTTTATTCAAAAAATGATATTAAATTTTCACCCCAAGAAGTCATAAATTAGCCTTAGAATATGATAGCACCATGCAATTAAGTCAGAAGTAATTTTGATATTATCAGAATAGTTACAAAAGCAGCTAAAAAATAAGATAAGTGAATACCTAAAGGGGGATTTTTTATAAATTGTTGTCTAGTAAATTATCCAAAAACTTTCTGATAACTATTTCAATTGTGTTAAAATTCTTATCCTATATTTACATCCCATATTCTTAGAGACTAATCATTACTATATGAAATTAATTCATCTCCATCAGGAGAGAATTAGACTTAGTAAACATAATTATTATGACCATCTAAATTGGTTTTTTTTATCCTGTTACAACATCCCATAAACGGATAGAGTTATCATCACTATCATAGGCTAATGTATTTCCATCAGGAGAGGTACAGACTGATCTAATATTGTCATTTTGACCATCTAATTTGACAATTTATTATTCTGTTTTTCTATCCCACATAATTTAATAGAACAATCTTAATTTGAATTGCTTCAAAAATCCGCTTAAGAATTTCTATAAAATTATCTTACAATATATTTTTAATAGAATAAAAAATCAGAATAAATTATATTTTATGAAAATATATTTTTCTGTAATTTTTAAAATTAGCAAACTTTAAAAAATTCTTATTTAAAACATCTACATAAATTGTTAAATAGATTTTATCGAAAATTTAGAACAGTTTTACAATTATTTTTGTTTTGAATGAGTTTACCATATGATGAATTATTGAGTTCACATAGTGCTAATAAGCGTCTCATTATTTAAATTTAAAAACTATACAACTTGTCTACTAAAATTATGATTTTAAGTAGATAGAGAATAGAGTAATCATTTAAAATTGTTTGATTTTTAAGGCAATGGATTGATTACTAAACAAGAACTTAATGAATTATTTGATGAAGAAATAAATGAAGAAATGAGGTAGGAAATTTTTGATCAATGTGATACTGATAATGATGGAATGGTAAAATATATAATATATAATTGGATTAATCTTAATGAATTTATCAATTTGCTTGAGAATAAATATCCAAAAATCCTTTATTCAAATCATAAATTTAATTTGACTATAAAAAATAATATATTGAATAGACTAGAACTATATGCTTATAAATTTATTTCTATTATTCTAAAATTTAAGTATTTAATTGTTATTAATATTCAATAATAATCAGTTTTAGCTAATGCCATTTCTATATCTATATATTTTTGAGATTTATATTTATACTTTTAATTGTATTGTCGAGAAAAAAAAATGAAATAAATCTAACTACATTTTAAGGGTAATAACATTTAAAATTTTGAATCTAATAAATTATTTTGTATTATTTATCAAAGATAATTGATCTGATATGCAAAATCTAAAAGAATTAGAAAAGTGTGCTAATTCCACTAATGTTTTCTTTAGAGGTTATAAAATAGGTGGAGTTAGAATTGGTAAATGGGATTATATTATGAATGGAGAGTCAATGTAAAGACTCATTATAATTATAAGGTTTGGAGGAGATTATAATTGTAGTGGTCAAAAAGTTGGAATATGGATTGAACCTGATAAGAATTACGAAAAAAAGTAAAATTGAATATTTAAAAGATAAGTCTCATAACATTTTCAGGTGAATATAGAGAGGATATCAAAGTAGGAATATGGAATACATTACTTAAAGAATAAATAATGTATTAAATAAATTAATATTAGTGAAGGAGGAGGATAGTATAATGAAAAAGGATAAAAATAAGGAATGTGGATAGAAGTATAAAATAACACAACCTCAGAGTATAAATGATAAATATTAGTTTTCTCTTATTATACTAAGGTAATTACAAAGAGGGTAGGAGAGTTAATAACTGGAAATGGACCTTAGATAATGAAACGATGTAAATTGATATTAATAATTAGTGGTTAAGGATAATATAATGATAATGGATAGAAAGATAAATTTTGGACAGAAGTGGATGAAAATTATTCAAAATTGTAAGAGAATAATTTCCATAAAAAGTTAAAAATTTAAATTCCAAGGATCCTATAAAAATGGAATGAGAATAGAGAAATGGCTTATATTACATAATGAATTTATTACGTAGAAGATTTAATTAAATTATTAGTGGTGGAGGGGTATATTCTTATGAATTCAAGAAAAATGGAATTTGGGTAGAACCAATTGAAAATTATACTGAATAGTAAATTTTATAATTAATCTAGTTGCCCTGTATTCTAAAAAGGCACTTATACATAAGATATTAAAGTTGGTGAATGGAGTGTCCTTCTTCATAATTCAACAATGTTAATCTTAAATAATAAATAATAGTGGAGGAGGAAAGTATGATAAAAGTGGTTTAAAGTAAGGTGATTGGATAGATGTAGAGATAATAAATATTTTTTAGTATAATTATAATTAAATGAAAGGAAAATTATATCGGTTGGATAATATTAAAATGGAATTAGAATATTATAATGGAAATTTAAATTAGAAAATTAATTATTGTAATTGTTAATTTAAATTTTAATTATTAAAGTTAATGTATGTATAATGAAATTGGAGAAAAATAAGAATATTGGATAGATTTTCATAAAGATTATTATTAAAAGTAGTAATTTTTATATATTAAGTGAAATATTATTTGAAGGAAATTATAAAAAAGGTAAAAGATATGGATTATGGAATATCTAATAATAAAATATAATAATGTATATTATTATTAATAAAATTAAAGTGGTAATGGGTTATATGATGAATATGGATAGAAGTTTGGACTTTGGAAAGAGTTGCATCCATTATATTCAGGAATGTAAGTCTTAGATTTAAAAAGGTGTGAATTAATGATGAAAGGAGAATATCTAAATGGAGTTAAAATTAATTATTGGCAAATAGTAACTTAAAAGTATAACAAATTAATGTAATTTTGTGTTCTATAAAAAGTGGTGGTGGATCATTTAGTGAATAAGGACAAAAAATTGGAAAATGGATAGAACCTCATTAGTGTTATTCATTATAGTAATAAAATTAAATTTATAATAGTCGTTAAGTAATAAGTTATGGATCTTATGTAGATGGATTAAAAATTGGAATATGGGAAGATATTTATTTAAATAAAATTTTGTAATTAATTAATATAATTAATAGGAATTATTATAATTTTGATAAAGAAGGAAAAAGGATAAAAATTTAGAATTAAATATGATTTATTTAAATTAATAAATGAATAATACAATTTAGATATCAAACATATGTAAGAAATGTATTGTCATCATGCTTCTGGGTTACTTTTTATTTTGGCTTTATGTCTAAAGTTTTCTATTTCGTTATTCGATGATCATCTTAATCTAATTTTTATGATATTTCAAAAGATCTTTTCATCTAATAATGATAATAATAAAGTATACTTATTTTAAATCTCCTTGGTAGGAATAATATAGAATTTTTCTCTATTTATCAAAAAGATTATTCTTCTTTTTTTTTAATGATAGGATATGGCTCTGTCTTTTTATTATTTCTATCTTTTGTAAGGCCAAGCTTTTACTTTTTGAATGTCTTTTCTGGAAATCTTAAAAATGCATCTCTTAAGAATAAAATTCTCTTTCAGCTGACAAACCAACTCATATAAATATCTAACCAGTTTCGTTCTTAAAGCCTTTATTTCCATCTAAAACTGTAATCACAAGCATATTTTGCTTTACTTGCTAATTGTTTTTATTTTTGAAGAGTATATTTTCTTTTCTTTCTGTTAATTAATCATAAAAATAATCTAAGTTGGTTTCCTATTAATAAAATAGTTCTTAATATCTTGAGCGTGCATTTTTAATTTATTCATAGCTAGTTTTCATTTTACGTTCTAATTTATAATTTAACTGCAATACACATAGAGACATTTTTTCTTTATTAGTTGGAATAAAGAAAGCTAATTCAGTGTTACATACTATAGGACGCATTTTAATAATCTAAAGTTTAAGGAGCAGATTTTTTCATTAATTAATAATAAATTTAGTAATAATTGTAATCAGCTAATCCATTTATTACTGCCTTGTAGGATATTGATAATATTCAATCATAATACCAAAGCCAAAGTTTTCAGATTCCTCTTAATTTTTATTATTATTATTATTTGAAAATATTTTCTACTTTAATCTAAGATTAAGCAATTCATTTTATGAAATTAAGAGTTCGATATTATTTCTTTGATTAATACTTTATTATTTTTAGAAATTCAATTGATCAGTGATACTTCTTTTAAGAAAATTTGATGAGCTTTTCTTAGAATCTTTAGATTACATCATAGCCACTTTAGGACTATCTTATTCATCCTCAGATTCAATAGGTTTAAATTATTAAGTTTAAGCATTTAATTTTATTTTTTTATTCGAACTTTTTTTACTTTCTTCCTCCTTCTTTATTATCTCTTACCAATCAAAAATATTATCATTATATTACATTCTATGCATTAATCCTTTCAACAACTTTCTTAAATAATTATAAGAAGGTTCAGTATCATGAGAGACATTAAAAATGTAATTGAAATACCCCTCAAACTCACGAGGTAATCCGTAACTAAAATTAAATTACTTATAATTGTTACCACAACGACATTGGAGTTTCTCTCATTTTCTTTTATCCTATCAAATAAAACCGCTCCTCTTTGGTTTAGGCTTCAATCTTCATCCAAGGTAGAGAACCTTTTAAAAAAAATATTGCCAAATAACCTAAGGACTCTAAATCACTTGCTCTGCTTTAACTATATCCTTAATGAGAACAAATAGGGGTAAAACGAGCAGTTCCAACTAATGGTTATCCTTTTAATTTTGGCAACAGTTTCTTTTATGAATCATAAATTGGAGCGTTGAGTCCGAAGTCAATGAGATAGATGAGGTTTTCATTTGGAGGAATTCCAATCATGAAATTCTCTGGCTTAATGTCTCTGTGTATATACTAGGGCACTTTATCTCATTAAATTATTTACCCCTTAAGAATGAAGATATTCTAATCGACTAATTGCTTAATCCATAAAGAGTAAGATAGTTTTCAAAGAGAATTTGTGGTTGCATAAACTATACAATTCATCAAGGTTCTTACCTAAAATATTTAATATTATATAAAATACCTAATAAGGTTTCAACAAGTACTCTTTAAGTTGAATCTTCAATATAATAGTATAATCTAGGTATTCCTTTTTCACCATTAAGTTTTTTGAGAATTTCTGCTTCCAATCTCAAAGTCTCTCCCTTTTTTTATCTATGTTCTTAAGCCTCAATTTTGACTGCATAATAATCTTGTTTAATTTAATGAATGGCCTTATAAACCTTACCAAATGATCCTTCATTAATTTTGGAAACAATTAGGTAATTTTTGCATACAACTCTTCCTAATAGAGAATCAACTGGTGCTTTTAAAGAGTGATTAGTATTCATTTATGAATTGCATTATGATTAATATGCCATTATAATATATTAATTATTTTTATACAAGTTTATAGAATTTCATTCATTCTTGGGTTGTTCTAAAATCTCAAATTGCTCTGGTTATGGATCCTTTTTCTGTAAATCATTGAATTTAGTCTTTAAAAAGTTCCAGGCTGATAAAGTTCCTTCTTTAACAGTTTCANGAAATTAAAAGTTTGATATTATTTCTTTCATTAATACTTTATTTTTCTTAGAAATTAAATTGATCAATGATACTTCTTTTAAGAAAATTTGATGAGCTTTTCTTAGAATCCTTAGATTACATCATAGCCACTTAAGGACTATCTTATCCATCCTCAGATTCAATTGGTTTGAGTTATTAAGTTTAAGCATCTAATTTTATCTTTGTATTCGAACTTTTTTAGTTGCTTCCTCCTTCTTTATTATTTCTTGCCAATCAAAAAGATTATCATTTTATTACATTCTATGTATTAATCCTTTCAAAAAATTTCTTAAATAATTATAAAAAGGATCAGTATCATATGATAGACATTAAAAATGCAATTGAAATACCCCTCAAACTCACGAGGTAATCAATAACTAAAATTAACTTACTTACATCGATACCACAACCATATTGGAGTTTCTCTCATTTTCTTTTAACCTATCAAATAAAACCGCTCCTCTTTTGTTTAGGCTTCGACCTTCATTCATGGTAGAGAGCCTTTTAAAAAAATATTGCTAAATAACCTAAGGACTTGAAATCACTTACTCTGCTTTTACTATATCCTTAATGAGAACAAATATTCAACACCTTTAAATTTTTATAAAAATCTAAAATATTAAAACAGATACATATTACACAGCAATTAATAGAGGGTACAATTCTAAGACTAATGGTGAAGACCTCATTCTTATATTACTTTTATGGTTTGAAAAAAAAAGGTGGAAACAAAAATGAACTGTCCAAACATTTTCCATCTTAATCTTCAGCGGTAGCAAAGGGGGAGTATTAAATTTTTTTCAGTTATAAAACTTTGAAAATAAAATCCTAATTATATTATTTACCCTAGTTTTAAAATAAAATTAAGAATAAATATTTTATTGCAACTATAAATCGAATAATCATAATTACAATGATATAAATGGAGTATTAAAACTATTTCTTAGATTACAAGAAAAATGAATTCAACAATTATATAACTCAAATTTAGTATAAATTAAATTATTCATATAAAAATTAATTGTTCCATATCATATGTTGAAATGAATTCTCAATAGAGTATTTTACCTTAATAATAATAAATTCCAAATCAACACAAATTCTGAACTTCGATTTTAAAAAAATGCATAAGATATTTTTATCGATTTTGCAGTATATCACTTCAAGTTAGAGTAATAGAAATTCAATATTAAAAATAATGAATTGCATTTATCATATTAGAAATCCAATTTCGTTGATATGCAAAGCTCCTCATAAGTGCGAATTCTAAAGGAAACTTTGTGTTGAATGCCAATATGTACATGGGGTAGATTTTAAACATACTGTTCCCATAAAAATATTTCAAGAAATGGCTATCAAGAAATTAACAGACCCCAAGCTTGATTGTACATCAGAAGTAAACAACTAGAGAATGGCCTTTAAAACCTTGATCTCTTAAACCGAATAAATGATGAAGAAAATTTAGGAAGAATTTTCATAATCTATCTAACAAGTATATGATATGATTGAACAGGAAAACTAATCATATTTTCACCTAATCGACGAAAATACTAATCTAGCTGAATCCTCCTACACAGACTTAGAAAAATTAGTAAGCATAGTAGAAGAAACAACCCTATCTGATTGGAATGTTTGGAAGAATTTTTATATGGAGGATTTAGATAAGAAAAAGAGCTGGTGGGATCATCATATTAAGGCTTTTATTGAAAAGTCGAAGGAAGGAATCGAATAGATTTAATCATTAATTAAGTTAGTATTTATTTATTATTGTAGAATTCAACCTCAAGAAAAAGAAGAAGAAGAAAGCGAAGTTTATTCAATGAAAGAAGATTTTTTTGAAATCTTGGCTGAAATTCAAGATATTGATGAATCTATATATAAAAAGATTCTTGAAATACTTCAAAGGGAGAAAGTTACAGACATCATTAGAT